CTGAACTATGTATGTTAGTAAAGGTTTTAACCATCAGATCTGCCTGTTCTTCATCTTTTACTGCTGTAATGTGACCAAAATTTAATACCGGATATTCTCTTTTAATCCCATTCATTCTTCTGATCATTGTCCATACTTTATTAATCCCAGTTTCTCTTCCTACTGAATTACAGAAATGCCTCCAATAATCCATTTTTGCACTTTTTATAGTTCTCACAATGGCTTGACATCTCTTGTATTCAATAAGATTTTGGGAGCTGTGATTTATTTTTAACATTTTAAAAACTTTATTTCGACTTTTGATTACTTTATCACACTCCTTTGTCCACCATGGAACAATCTTCTTACAGCCCTTACCTCCTTTTTTCTTTACAGATTTGTCAGCAGCTGTATGATAGCATGACAAACAGATACATTTAACTGATCAACTTCCATATTTACATTAATTTTTCCCAGTTCCTGATCGCTTATACGTCTAAATGTTTCCCAATCAGCACGACCAAAACACCATTTCTGCAAACCACCTGTCTTATATTTTTCAATATCCAATTTTATTTCTGTTATTATGGGATAGTGATCACTTCCTATTGTTCTATCTTTAACTATCTTCCATGTACTTATTCCTGCTATTGAATTTGATATTATTGTGAGGTCAGTTGCTGATTCCATACCTGTTCTCATATCAACTCTTGTTTCCTTACCATCGTTTAAACACACAAGATTTTTATTTTCCATTAATTCTTCAATAATTGTTCCATTACCATCATTCTTAGTGCCCCACAATGAGTTATGTGCATTAAAATCACCACAACAAAAGATGTTTCCATTTAAATAACTATTGAGTTCTTCCATTGTTTCATGTGAAAGTCTTTTGCAAGGATTGTAAACATTTATTACTTTGATGCTTTCCTTCCTGTTCCAAACTTCAACAACTAAATATTCTAAATGAGTTCCGTTTGCTAACAATCTAAAGTGCATTCCTGTTTTTACAGATGTTGCACATCCCCCTCCCTGGGTCTCACTTCTATCTCTGCGTACACCAGTATATCCTCGAATAACAAAGTCTAAAGTTGCTTTGAGCCAAGTTTCCTGAATACATATTATGTCTGGTTTGTTGTGAAGATTTTTAATGAAGCGTTTAAATTCTTGTCTATTTGTGATTAAACTTTGAGCGTTCCACTGTAGAATAATCAGAGTGCCCCCTCTCCTGATGTCCCTGACTTCCTGATTCCCCCCAGTTCTTTCTTAATGTGCTCCCATGAAATGTCTTTTATACCAAAACATTTCTCTGCTCCTTTAACTATTATTTTAATTTTCTCTGTTTTGTACTTGACCTGGTGTGCACAGTTAATCACATACGCAATGAACAACATGATCCTCTCCACTAATTGTAGGTTCAGGTCTCTCTTTTGGTAACTGGGATGTTGGGTTTTGTTGTACAATCATCTCTCTCCTTCCAGTTTGTTCTTGAACTTTTTCCACAGCTTCATCAAAGCTGATGTTATTGACTGTTTTCATTTGTTCCACTTTAATGGCCTTTTTTCTAACTTCACATCCTCCAACAGTCACTCTATGCTGTCCCCCACAGTTACAACATTTATCTTGTGTCACCACACTCCTCATATCTGTGATCACTCCTCATATCTGTGATCACTCCTCATATCTGTGATCACTCCTCATATCTGTGATCACTCCTCATATCT